GGATTCAAACTAATTGAGGGATTCTTTTAATCTTCATTTGATACAGACTTTTTTCCTACAGTACCCCTGGGATTTTTTCACTTTTTATGACACAAATTATCAAACCTTTTAATTTTAAAGAAAAATAATCCAGAGGTTCACCACCTATTGCCAAAATTCCAGCAATTTGAACACGCTGAGCAACTCTGTGGAATGCAATGCCTGTGGAAGTCAATGACAAGCATTTTCCACACTGTCCTCCTTCCTGGTCAGGTCTGGACCACACAAGTCACTTCCCTCTGAGGAGCAGGAAGAGGAGGAGGAGGAGGAGGAGGAGGAGGAGGAGAAGGAGGAGCATCTCACCAACACCATATTGGTTCCCACTCCTCAGCTTACAAAAGCCACCAAAGAACAGCCCTGGAGAGCCTGGAAACCTCTGGTTGTCCCAATCCTACCAGCTCTCGAAGATGTCATCAAAGGCACCACAATTAGAAAGGGAGGCTCTGCCAAAACAAAGTTGCAGATTTTTCACCCAGCTACTGGAAAGCAGCAGGATCTCTTATCAGCAGCTACAGCAGATCTCTCTGCTCCATCACCATCAGAAGAGATTTTACTTTGGAAAAATAGGATCCTGTCCATTCCAGAATGAGACTCTTGTGACTGACTTTATGCTGTGATTATATCTGAAGTAGGTCTGTGGCCATTTGGTTATTTAATGAAGGCCTATCAGGCTGGGCCCTGACAGCAAAGCTGCTCTGCAATTCAGAACATGGGAGTGGGAATGTAAAAATACATTTAAAAATTGTATTTTTAAAAATCTCCCTCCTACAGAACCAATGGCAGTTCTAAAACAAAAAAGTCCACTGAGAATATTCTGGGAGAGGATGGAGAGAAGCTATTTTTGACCTTGATTAATACAGGAGGAACTCCATGAAATGTAAAAATTTAGCAATTTGACATCTGTATTCAAATACAGGCAAGGGAAAAAAAATCATTCACTTGTCAATTCTCTCTGCATTTCTGCCTTTCTAAGGGAAGAGAAAAAGGGAATGATGATAAATTCCCTAAATGCTGTCTAATTGCAATATCTAGCATGGCCCACTATTAAAATATGTATTCTCACAGCTGAATCAGGAATTTGACTTAATGGGCTGTCATGACAGTTCAGCTCTGACATAATCTAAAAAGATTCATGTGTATCCTCTGCTACACAGCTTCTGGAAGATGAAGATGCTCACCTTATTTTTACAAGCCTACTTGTCACCTGGCAATAATGGATTCCACAGCTTCTTCTATCAGCACATCCACCTGTCTCAAATCCTTTGCTCCTCTATTTTACATTAACATCATTCTTTAAAAAATAACTGCAATTTCTTTAACAGGAATGTCTATTTTTATATATATTTTTTTTTTAAAGCACCAAGCTTCCCCCTCCCCCTTCTTTGTTTGAAACACACAGCATTTTATGCAATAGGCATGAAAAAATGATAATAAAAATGGATACTAGAAAACTGGTACAGTAATCCTTGATTTTTAGTGACTGATACTCTGTAATTTAAGGAGTGTTAATACAGGCAAAGCAATACAGACTGCAACAGTTCACACCCTGCAAAATGTGGCCTATTCAGTCTTTTTCACTGCAAACTGAGAAAAAAAAAACCCAGAGGATTTTACATTCTGCACACATTTATCTCAGATTTATCTCATCATAGCATTCTTCTCAGACAGACATTTACTCCATCTTCCCAAACACTGTTATCAAGGCACAAAACCCACACCTAAAAATAGATTCTTATTGTCTTTTCTTTTTTTTTTTTTTTTT